TCAAGTACATCTTCTCTGATAGCCCTACCTCTGTAGAAGGCGCGGCCGAAGTCTTGCCAAACTTGGAAGCTGTCGCAGAAGATGCTTTGCATTTGGTGCTGCGCGTGGAAGCTTGTACTGGAGAGAAGCAGAGAAGCGCACTGCCTTGTCCTCATGCTTGCTCAAGATCCAAACCCGCTTCCGCCTGCCATACGCAGCTCCGTCCTTTCGTGGCCATGCTGTGGAAGACCCTCCTGATGCCGGCAACTGGTCGGACAATCTGATGGACAAAGAAGCTACCGAAACAGATTGGGATAAAAAAGCAGCCACACCATACTGCAACCACCAGGAGTATATCAATGACATCCAAGCCCTTTGCACTGCGTTTCCAGACAACATGGGCCACAAGGACAAGAAAGGGCGCACAATCCGCCAGATCTTGAAGGCCGGGGCTTCCTACACTCATTTTCGCTACTTGTGGAACGGATCGCACATCATCTCTGCACTCCACGACGTGCTGCCACCTGCGGAGCTCCAACTCCTGAGTTTTGGCACGTGCAGCAATGAAGCCTTGCACTTTCAATTGAAAGCTTGCCAAGAGCAAATCATCCAGCAGCACATCCAAACCTTCCCACCACAACTTGCAGCTTTCAGCTTGGCCAAGATGTTGGCCCACCATTCGGCCGCATACTTCCACACCTTGGCACAAAGAAAGGAGTCTGAGATTCTCAGTTTAATGCAAGGCTGCTTGAAAAAGGGTTTTCTGCCAGCTCTTGAGGAAGGGCAGGTACAACCCATTATCAGCAGGCAAGACTTGCGCAAGCCAGTGCGCAGGGTGGATCCTGGGAAGTTGGCCGCAAGAAAAGAAACGGCTGCACAAAAGGCCGTACAATGGAAGAAGGAGAACCGCAACCGACAGCTGAAGAACAAGGAGAAAGTTCAACATAAAGGCGCCTTCAAGCGCACCGTCTTTACTCAACAGAAGTGCCTTGGCAGGCTGACATGCACAGACCCGCAATCCACACTTATCCGTCCTGCACAATTTGCTGTCACTATAGCTTTGTCACTGGTGCCTTTCCGTTGCATGCATTACTGCCTCATCCGCAATATCGGCCAAGTCTTCTTTAAATTCAATCGTCTGTCGCGTGCTCTCCCGAATAAATTGCATGCCTGGCCAATGCGCAATGTGTTTCTTAAAACTTTTTTATTGTGCTCCCACCAGTACGCACATAGTTTAGCAACAAACCATCCAGCTGCAGATGGTCCCTACCTTGATGTCGTGGCCCTTCTACACATTCAAATACCCCAAAGATAAATTGCACCTGCACCGCTAGCAGCCCCAATAGCATAGCCATTTTCATTAAACCGTAAACTCAATCTGCCCCGCGAGCCTGCCTACTTGATCACGTTCTCCTACCACGCCAACAGTAACTTTCCCTGCGCCCCATGTTGAAATAAATCAAAAACATGCGTTTTAATTTTACGGTAACCAATGGTAACCAAAGTACATCAAAGTATGCAGCAACAAAAGGCCACGGGCCCCTAGCGCGTATACCTCGGACAACGGAACTATAGCAAAAACTCGAGGCAGATGGAGGCATTCAAATCGTAGCGCGCATATGTTCGATGAGTGCAATTAAGACAACCTGAAAGGATCAGCCACTTTATCCTCCACGTGCGTGCCACTAAACAGCTTCTGATCCACTTGCCACTTCTGCCCCTGCGCTGCAGTAACAACATCAAGCCACAACAGGCCGGAGCTGGGCCGCTGTCCACCCTCGCCAGTGGCGGCGGCGCCCTTGAGAACTTTCCTTCCAGCGCCCGCCGTCCGGAGCTGGGGGTCAAGCCCTCGCCAGTGCCTGGGGTGGATAAATAAAGAGAAAAAGAAAAAGAGAGAGAGAGAGAGAAAAAAAGATACAGAAAGTGAGAAACAAACATCTTGCATGCCAGATCGCGATCGCGAGACCATTACGCCGAGATTCCGCATGTCCACTCCGTACCAGAACTTTGATGCGCAATGTCCAGCATGATTTTCGAGTTGTGATTGCAGACTTGATCCGAAGCTACAAAGCAAGCTGTGCTTGCATGGGTTTGATGTGCATTGTCAAGGCATATCTGCTCTTGTTGGCTGTCATTGGATATAGAAAGCTATATAAGATGCTGTGTCTTTGTTTGTTGTTGCTATACGTGGATCTGTTCATATTTAATTATTTAATTTAATCTTTTGTTCGAACGCCATTCCTTTTTCAACAAATCAACACGTGCGGTGCTGCGAGCCAGGCGGCCAAAACGCAGCGCTGCAGCTGAATCTTCGTCAGCTGCGGATGAACTGCGATGAGCTGCCAAGTGGAGTCAATTAATGTGGCATACCAACTTGAAAAAAAAACAATTGTGCTTTTGGATATTTGGGGCTCTTTTCAACTAATTTGCAGGCGTGCCCACTTGCCAATTCCAAGCGGCTTTAATTAGTTTCCCGTGTGCAAGGTTAAATTAGTGCGAAATTCAGATCGAGGCGGCAAAAAATGAATATGATGCTCAAACACGCTCACACACGCTCACACCTGATACACAGCAGCCTTTGTACTTATTGCACATGCATGTACATGTGCATGAAGATTTGACGCTCCAAAATGTCTGTCCATGGAATTATGAATGCTTATACGTGTTTGGGGTCAGAAATTTGGGCGTGAATGCAAGCATCAGGGAAAGAAAGAAAGAGAAGGACACAAATAGAACACCAAAAAGTGAGAGGGAAAGAGGGGCAGTAGCATAAAGAATAAGTCCAAGGCAATAGATATGTGTATATACTATATATATATATATTTACATGTATACATATTTACATATATATATACTTATACACATATATAAATATATAGTTACATAAATACATAATGTATAGTCTCGGTATCGTATCTATAGTTCTAGATATACGGCTGCAATGCTTCCTTTCTGCGACCAAGTTAAAGTTACACACATGGGCAACGGAAGCCCGGTGAATAGTATGAACCAGGCGCGCCAAAGTGCAAAGCACCCATGCTCTGAAAGTGGTGCTTGGCGCCGGAGATAAATCCTACGCGGTATTGCCAATATAAAGGGAGTTGCAGGTTACAGCTACATGTATCGAGACACCCCAACCCATTCCACCCTGCTTACATGCACAAGAAGTTGTGCCGCAAAATCGACGCCAACCGTCAATGGCACGGGGGCCCCCCCCCCTTGAAAGGCGGACCGAGACATAACCGGCCCAAACTCTTGCACTTGCACCGCTCGCCCCCTAATACTTGCTACGCAAGGGGGAACTCAGGTAGCTCACCGCTACCTTTCGAGACATGTATTAACCAGTACGGTAATTATTGACTGCTATTAATAAGTCCCAATAACTTCTATTAATTATCCCCCTTCGGTACGAAATCCTGGGTCCGGCAACCCCCCAGCCGAAAGTTTCTCGGCTCCAGCTGGCTGGCGTTCACCAAGGTCTGTGCGGAAGGCACTGACCCTCATGGAGCTGGGTGTTCACAAATACGAAATAGGAGGTTTCCTAAAATGGGGTTACCCCACAATGGATTGTTTATAATGGAAAATCCATGAAAATCCTACTAAAATAGATGATGACTGGGGGTACCCCTATTTTAGGAAACCACCAAACAGGAACATTGGGATTTACGCAACCAGAACTGGGCTTTCACAGATTTCACCCAGAAAATGTTGGATTTTTTACATGATAAAAAAAAACACCTTTTCCACGGACGGTTTGTTCTTGGTCGATTCATCCTGGTGGGTTGAAACAAAAATGGCTGGAAGTTATGGATGTTTTGACCATCCCCAAACATGGTCCCATAGGATCCATAGGTTTTGACCCATCCCCCTTTCTCTGCACGCCACGAAATCCACGAAGTCACTATTTTCCGTGTGAATTTGATCCAGCAAAATGTGTTCAACCAACCAACACTGGGAGGCTCCCACCTTCAGGAACTCACAGTTTTGCAGCACTTGCTTGAAGCCATCCTGGCGCAAGGCGGAAGGACTCCAGATGATGTTGGCTGTGATGTGTCGCCCATGGGCCCCAATGATCTTTTTCTCCCCATTGGAAAAAAGGGGAAAAACGAAACTGTTGATTTAAAAAATACGAATCCAGAAGCATGCATATAGTCATGTATAGTTAATATCCCATCAATAATTACCCTCCGCTGTCATCAAACAGCTGGAAAATCTCCCAGCTATAGTTTATTTCGAGGATTTTCCCAGCTATAAGCCTCCATAAGCCTCCATTTCGTTCCGGGATTTCCGAGATGTCCTATGGTTGTCCCATGCTTTTTCCATGGTTTTTCCATGGTTTTTCCATGGTTTTCCCACGGTTTCCCCTAGAATTTCGGCCAAGGCACCAACAAGGGCTCCAGCTGGGCACGAAACTTCTCCCGCAGGAACCATTGCACATAGGCCTCGACCTGGATCCCCACGAAATTTTTCCATCCATTCAAAGAGGCTTCGAAATGGTCGAAGTTCCCTTCGGATTTCATGGGATTGAATACCCTCTGGTAAACTAACATAGCTATTGAAAATGGCCATTTATAGTGGATTTTCCCATTAAAAATGGTGATTTTCCATAGCTATGTTAAATTACCAGAGGGTAGGAATTCTTGGAATGTATGATGGATTTTTTGGGATGTATGATGGATACCAAAAAGGTGTTTTTTTTGGATGATTTTCCCAGCTAGAAACATTCATTTAAAGGCAACCGGGAATTCCCAGCTAGCCACGTTTACTGGAGGGTACACACTCAAGATGCTCTATCCATCTCTGGTTCCGATCTGATTGGGATCAATGGGTGGGGGTCATATCAACTAGCAAATTTGGTCAATTGTTGAATTAAGTGTAAGATAATCTTTGTGTCTGACCACGGTTTAGTTCCATTGCCAAATCACACAAGTCACTGCACAGGTTTCCATGGGCTGCATCACTGGCTTTTTGCCTATGAAATCTCCATTTGTTGTTGGTAAAACCCCGTGTTTCTGTGCAAGTCAAATCTCCATGTTCGCGAGTTTTGCTAGTAAAATCCCAATTTTGCTATTCAAACCCCCCAGTTTTGCTGGAAAAATCTCCCCCACTCCGCGTGCGTTGTGTCGAGCCACGTGCTCCGCCCGATTTCCCGAGCACAGCTCCTCGCCCCGCGGCCAGTCCAGCGGGAAGACCTGCGAAAGCTGGGATGAGTTTACTCATGGCTCCACCAACATTTCATGATGGATTTTAATAAGATTATATCTGTAATAATGGTTAATTTTTGTTGATAAAGGTTAATTCTTGTTAATAATGGTGAATAATGGTGAATAATGGTTGATAATGGTTAATAATGGTTAATAATTGTTAATAATGGTTGATAATGGTTAATAATGGTTAGGAATGGTTAATAATGGTTAATAATGGTTAAAAATGGTTGATAATGGTTAATATATAATGGCTAATTCTTGTTAATAAAGGTTAATAAAGGTTAATTCTTGTTAATAAAGGTTGATAATGGCTAATTATTGTTAATAAAGGTTAATAAAGACTAATAATGGCTAATAATGGTTAATAATGGTTGATAATGGTTAATAATGGATAATTCTTGTTAATAATGGTTAATAATGCTTAATAATTGTTAATAATTGTTAATAATGCTTAATAATGGTTAATAATGGTTCATTCTTGTTAATAAAGCTTAATTCTTGTTAATAATGGTGAATAATGGTGAATAATGGTTGATCATGGTTAATAATGGTTAATAAAGGTTAATAATGGCTAAATTGTTATTAAAGGTAGACAATGGTTAATAATGGTTGATAATGGTTAATAATGGTTGATAATGGTTAATAATGGTTAATAATGGTTAATCATGGTTAATAATGGTTGATAATGGTTAATATATAATGGCTAATTCTTGTTCATGAAGGTTAATAAAGGTTAATTCTTGTTAATAAAGGTTAATAATGGCTAATTATTGTTAATAAAGGTTAATAAAGACTAATAATGGCTAATAATGGTTAACAATGGTTGATAATGGTTAATAATGGATAATTCTTGTTAATAATGGTTAATAATGCTTAATAATTGTTAATAATTGTTAATAATGCTTAATAATGGTTAATTCTTGGTAATAAAGGTTAATAATGGTTAATAATGGTTAATAATTGGAACAATGTGGGTAAAACAATGTCATAAACCACCCATGGCTGGGAATGGTAAACATGACACATATAAAAATGGTGATTTGGGGGATTGTTTATTGTTTTGCCCACGTTCATGGATATGATAATTCCAAATATTCAAGGGGTAGTGTAATCCCATACTATCATCAACAGGGGTTGGCCTTTGTATTCTTCGGAATTCCCCGAAAGAAGTTACTGCGGGGGTGTCACCGACTGATATTGTTGTTTGGCATGTCTGGGATAGGTAAGAAGTAAATGGATTGGACAACAAACAACAAAATTGAGGTTAAACTGTATGTTTGTGAATCTCAAACTATGTTTGGGAAATTTTTGGCAACTGGACTCTGAATCCCTCTCCGGAAATTCACAGGGCATTGTCAACTTCAAGGGTTGATATTTCAATGTGGCTCCAAAGCCACCAGCAGAGGCTGAAACCCACCAGGGTAGGTTTACAAGACTCGAAGACTTGAGTTGGCTAAGGCACTTAGTGCATAACATATACATAGTTAATCTTACATACCCTGAGGTTCCCTCATTCTCAGTTCTGGCATATTTTACTTCGTAACTTACCCAAACAAGTCTACCCGGTCTGTCCAAGTTGTTCCCCATGACTTGGCCAGCAAAAATCATCATCCACAATAGTCATTGCTTGTGTAGCAATTGTTTGCCGTTCTTTGCGGGTCAAATCCCAATTAGTAATGTCCAAATCTTAACAGAAAAAACACGGTACTTTTTTTTAATTAAAATGAAATGTCAACATCTTTAAATGTATTGAATAATATTAAATATATGTATATATATAACTATTATATGTAAAGATATGACATATGTAATTAAACTTGCTGGAAACTTCCTTCCCACCTGCCTCGGCCACATCGTCCTTCTCGTATGCCAGCAGTTCCTGAAGACCTTTGGCCAAGCATGGCCTCAGAGCTGACATCAGAAAGATGAAACGGAGTGGGCTGACGATTCAAAAAAACAAAATGTTTTTTTCCATCATGCTTTGCTGCATATTTTACACATTGTGTAAGTGAATCTTCGAATCAAACACAGAGAAATGTTCCGCAAAAAAACTTAAGCTCTGACACTCTGCCTCAGTTTTCTTTGAATCTTTGAATCCTGGAAAATCCCCAGAAAATCCCAAGAAAATCCCCAGGAAATCCCAAGAAAATCCCCCGAAAATCCCCAGGAAACCATGGAAAATCCCCCGAAACTCCACCCGTTAAACACCGTGGGAAACGTCCGAAAAAAAATCCTCTGCCTCAAGGCTGCCAGATCCGCCAAGCCGGGAGGTGCCACGGACACGGCGCCTCAACGATTTTTATTGCTGGAGTTCATGGTATCATGGGATATCTAGGGAGTATATACAGTGTATATATATATACATAATCATATGATCATTTGTATTGCTACGTTTAACGTGTTTGAATTCATACTATTGTTATTCTTGTAGATATATATATATATATTATATATATGTGTGTGTGTCATTATATAGTGTAATATATACATATATATATGCACGATTCTATATGTATGTTTGGGTTTCTATGCTTGATTATGTAAATGGACATAACCTACATTTGTCACGAACTTGACATGATATAGTGCCACCAATAACAGATAGAAGTACTAATTGGGATATAAAATCAAACATAGATATTCTTATGGGGATATGTCATGAGAAATATATCACCAGCTTGACATAGGGGATAGGCACCCAAAAAACGTATATAGATATATATATATACACATATATATACATACATATAATATATATATATACATATAATATACATATATTATATATAATTATGGGTGTGCCTTTTAGCCTTTTAAAAATAGGGGATAGGCACCCAAAAAACGTGTATATATATACACATAAATACATACATATAATATACATATATATATATATAATTATGTATGTATAGAATGATGCGAGTAATTAGGTTCTAAAGCATCAAATTTGGAATTTGGACTCATGCATCCCATGTGGAGATGTTGATGTACCATGGCTCCATTGCCTTTTCCGCAAAGGGACAGCCCTTTGGAAATGACCTGTAAGTAGATACAGCACATCATGTAAGGAAATGATACAATGCCAAGTCATGTTTTTTTCTAAATAGTTTGCAGGCAAGTCGGGCGCTCTGAAAATTCGGGAACCGTTCCCCATCACAAAAAAACACCTTTTGACATATCGGGATGCCACGACCAGATAGTTTTTAGAAAACCCGGCTCAACCTGGCTATCTTCATCTACAATTCAGAACCATCAATAAAAACCATGGTTTGGAACCTCAATTAGCCCATGAATAACTATGAATATCCCATTCATAGGTATGAAAATCCCCATATGCTTCACACAGTTTATAACATCAAATCATCAGAATTTCCAGGTGTCCAGGCCCAGGTGTCGCAGAAGCAGGCTATACAGCAAGGTTGGGAAAGAGACCTGGAAGTGCCATGAGAAAAGGATTGGTTTTACTGCAAAACCAGTGCTTTTGAAAATCGTTTCCTCCAAGATCTGATTGGACTTGTGGGGTGTACCTCAGATTTATGCGTATACATGTATATGTATATCTATATATACGTGTAAATAATATATATATATATATGTGGCCAAGCCATTCGAGAGGAAAAGCCTTGGGGTGTACCTCACTATCTTCCCAGGAGTCGGAACTGATTTCAGAGGACGTTGTTGAGGGCAAAGGTAGCTGCATAAAAGTGTAGAAATCTCATGAAGTCTCTGCTAATTGAACACCTAGAAGTTACATCTCAGATTTGCCTTTATAAATCTGAGTACCCATTTGTTGAACCAAACGATGCAAGAATTCCAAGGTTCCTCGGACCAAATTCAGAGGCAAGATTCTCCAGTGATTACCCAAACAAATCAGATACCATCTGCTGATTTAACGTAACTGTGGCAAATCATCATTTTTAAATTTGGAAAGTCATCCTAAGAAATCTATTCTATGGGCCGCTTCCATAGCTATGTGAATTAACCACCTCTGGTACCATGTGTTCCCCCTCCCCTTCAATGATCAGTGGTCCAACTTTGTCTGAAATTCATCCCGTTGTTTGAGGTACCCAACAGTTGGTAAACGAACCTGGCTGGAAAATCCCATCATTTGGTTGGTTGAGAACTGGATTCCCTGTTGATCCTGAGATTCCCCAATTTTCCTATCGGTTTTTGAAGAAAATCCCCGAACTCATCATATCAACCGGGGGGGGGCAGCAGCCACTTTCCACGTCAATCATCCCAGGCAATATCCCTCCCATGATATGCCCATGATACCCCATTAAATCTCTATGGTTGATGCTTAAATTCGCCAAGCATGGACGTATCCCCGAGATCCACCTGTAATCGGGTTCCTGTGAGCAGTGCCTGCATCCAAGTGGCGACCCGGCAACGGCGGAGGTGAGGTATCTTGGCTCCATATTAGATCGAAAATCAATGTAGAAGTACATATAAGTACTATAGTTACTATAGTTCCTATATAAGTACTACTAGGCATCTACAAGTTCATATAAGTACTATAGAAGTACTATGAAGTAGTATAGTTACGCGCAAACCCCCCAGTTCGCCCACACAACTTCTTAGGGATTTTGAAGGAATATAAATTCTGACCCCCGTTAAGCTTCACATTCAATTGGGAAGGTCAACAAGGGTATTAGGAATATAAATTCCCACCCCCGTTAAACTTTACATTCAATTGGGAAGATCAAGAAGGGTATTAGGAATATACATTTCCCACCGCCGTTAAACTTTACATTCAATTGGGAAGATCAAGAAGGGTATTAGGAATATAAATTCCCACCCCCGTTAAACTTTACATTCAATGATGATGATGATGATGATGATGATGACGATGACGATGACGGTGATGATGACGGTGATGATGCTGATGATGATGATGATGATGATGATGTTGATGTTGATGTTGATGTTGATGTTGATGATGTTGATGATGATGTTGTTGTTGTTGTTGTTGTAACATTCAACGCACAGGTAGCTAAGCTGTGCGTGGCAAGATGAAAGCCATGATCATGGACATGTGCATTTTATCCCACAAAACACAGCGTTGTTTGATGTTCGGACATGTCGTCGGCGTCCGCGCGGGCAAACTGAGGGGGTTGCCCGTATAGTTACTATAGATATAAGTACTATAGAACCCTACAGACATAGAAAAAAAACAAGTTCGTGTATCCCTGAGACTTTTGCAAGGCTCACAGGTCAAGCATGGTTTCCAAGCCCTGGGGCAAAGCATGGCGTACTAAACAGTGGGGAGCATGTATGTATACATAAATATATATATCATTATATACCATATTCAAACAAACCCATATCATCCTCCCACATTAATGCAAGGGACTTCTGGAAGATGTTCCCACAAAACCGTGATGATTCTTTCGCCGTATTCCATATTTTTCACTGATCCCCGGGTGCTTCATCTATTCACCAAATACATAATATGTATAGTACATGTACATATATATATATATGTATATATATATATTATATATTATATATTATATTATATATATATTATATTATATATACTATGTATATATATATATATTACACATACCACCCACATCTCACCATCGATTCATCCCCCTGTCTCGGCCTGTGCCATCAGCACCCCGACAGCCCGGAAGAGCTGAAGAGCCTGCGCCGAGGCTTTCAGGTCCTCGGCGAACCAAAAGGTCCTGCCGCGGACATCGGTGGAGGGATGGCTTTTCTACAAATTTCTTGGAGAAAATGGGGAAATTGTTGATGACATTTATGAATTTCGCAAATTTCTTGGAGAAAATGGGGAAATTGGGAAATTTTGAATGACATTTATGAAACAAATTCACATTTAGGAGAATGTCGATGTCTTTCTCATCTCCAAATTTAGTTAGGCTCTTCTGCAAATAACGGAGGATTAAAAAAAAAACAAAGATTAGGGATGAAAAGCCTAAAATGATCTCTAGTGACATGTTGGGAAAATTTAGGGGAAACCCAGGAAACCCAGCAATATTCCAAGGGATTCTCATCATTGTCCCATATGTTCCCATATTTTCAGACAAAATAAACATGGTGAAAACCAAAATAAACATGTTACCCTCTGGTAATTTAACGTAGCTATTGAAAATGGCCATTAATAGTGGATTTTCCCATTAAAAATTGTGATTTTCCATAGTTATGTTAGTTTACCAGAGGGTAACTAACAAAAATTGAAAATGTACCAATGAAGTTTTGGACGGAAAAACATGCAAATTCACCAACCAGAAAATCAAGATCACCCAAGAACTGGCGATTGAACCAACAAGAATGGGGATGGAATTGACAGCAATCGGGATGACATCAAAAATATTTACCCTCTGATAATCTCATGGATGTGCATCCCAGGAATGGTGCTCCTGGTCTACCCTGGTATACCCTGGTTAAGTCCATCAACTTCATCGTCAACCCGGACTGCGACACATCGTCCTCAACTTCCACTCGTCCTCGATGGATAATTAATGCATGGCCAAATCACTAACACTGTCAATTGCTCACAGCTGCTCCTGGATTCCTTGTCATAGTCCCACAGCTCCTGACCCTCCTGGCGTGACACGACATCGCTTTCACGCCGGGCAAAACATGATACAGGAGATTCACCCTGTACGTACATGTACATACTACATACGCTGTGGAATGACCTACTCATACTGAAGAACACAAAAGTTGGCAGCTTGCGTTGATAATTTTGACAACTAGGACAACTTCAAACCTGCAAAACTCCAGCGCTAAAATACTGGGGACAAAATGGGGGCCTTTGATGCCCCTTTACCTCAGCACTCAGCACCATCTCATTTCCTCGTTAATGGTTCGTACCCCCCCTCGCTCAAAAAAAAGAAGGAGAATCGCAATAAACTTCCAAAAGTTGGGCTAGAAACATGTTGGATGGTTTGCTTCTCTAGCAGCTCCTCCAAGTGTTGCCCGTTTTTGGCCGTCATGAAGGCCTGCTGGCTGTGATGAATTTTGGACAGTTTCCAAGGATCAAAAATGGAGCTGCCGTCGATAGATGAGGATGCGACTATCAACAAGGGGGTGATCTACCGTAAACATCAACGGGTTGTTTGACTTGATTTTAAACAAGCCATCAATGGAAGTTTGCTGGTAAGGATCGGAATCAATCTGCTGTCTCCTGCATACATGTACAAGCAGTGGGGATTCAACTGACAAAGATGAGAGGATGAACAATAATTCTTGTTGTCAGTATAATTAACCACACCGGGAGAGTATCTGTGCCACAGTGCGACGCGATTTTTTGCCATTTGAGAATTGGGGTCCTTCAGCCAGGTTGTGTCTAACCCCTTTTCGGAGGATTTGGGGGATGAACCAACGGAGCGGTTTTTTGTGGGGGCACCTGGAGATTGGATCCCAACCCACGAGGGTTTTTGCCCGCCGGAAAGATGGAACCGCCCGAATTGGAACGTCTGGATTTCTGAGTCTTCAGACATTTGTCGCAACCTACAAAAAGAATTTCGAAAACTCGAAAATCCCTTTGAAATGGCCAGAAGAGTGGTAAATGGATACTTTCTCATCTTTTTTGGGGAGTTCCAGCCTAGCCATTTTTGGGTCCTATAGCCTGGCCAGGGGCCAAGATCCACCACTTTGGGCACCTCCATGGTCAGTGCTAAGAACTCCCGCGCCACGCCCAAACCTCGACCCCTGGCGGATGGGACCATCGAACCTAACCCTATTAGTCTAATTGAAGTACTTAACGATCTAATTGTCCGTCTCCAAAATCAATCAATCAATCAATCAATCAATCTATCTATTTATCTATCTATCTATCTATCTATCTATCTCACTCCCTAACAATCTAAATCCATCTAGCTACGCACCCACCCACCTACCTGTATATACTAAGTATATACATGTATATACTGTAACATATGTATCTCTGTCGAAACATGCTTCATCTCAACCCATCAACCCACCAAAATTGTGATCAACTGGATATATCTTTCTCTATTTTTCTCAGATGGTTGTCCCAACTCCCCCAAATATTGTTGATCTTCCTTGCTTCTATAATCACTGAAATGGGTAGATGGGTAGTAGCTGGGTCAATCCATCCCATGTAAAAAAAAATGCCATTGTGTCCCTGAAATAATATGAGGGGTATGTATATAATCCAGCTACCGACTATTTGGATCTATTTGGTAAATCCCCATTCATTATTGGTAAATTCCTCATTTGTTGATGGTTTCATCCCCATTGCTCCTCATCACCGGGGGTCTCATTGATTCTCACTCCAATGCCCATTTACGATCATTTCCTGCTATTCTGCTAAAAACCCCATGCAGTTCTTCAAATCCCCAAAAAAAACATATCATCTCCATCTCCTCCCCAACTTTGCCTATCATCCACCCAAACAAAAATCTCCCGCCCTGCACCGGTCCACCCGGGGCACCGACCCCCCCGGCCTCTCCCGCAGGAAGTGCGCCGCCAAGCGTCGAGCGGCGGTCACTTTCACCAACGCTCGCAGGGCGCTCAGCCGCAGGGTGCGCGCGGGGCTGCGGGGCACCTGACACGTCAACCTGTGCAGCCCAGGCGGTCAGAGGCGCCGAAACATCGACGATGTTTGGACTTGGGGAAATGGGAGATCTCTGGAGATCAAATTTGGGTATGGATCAATACCTATAAATACCATTTCTAGTGGGTTATTCACATCCATAAATCCCAGCTATTTTGATGTGAACAGAAGGTACCAGGGTTTTGACCCATCCCCATATGAAGATGCTGTGCTCATGTTTTGAAGGAATCAAAGAAATTGGTTGAAAGTCTAGCCGTGGAATCTGGTGATCGAAGCAGCTGATTTCTGATGGCAATGATCATACCATCTGCTCCAACTCGAGCTGGGAAATCCCCGTGGTCACACCATGGAGGTTTAGTTCGCTGGGAAAATCAAGGAACTATTTCTGGGTGATTCTCCAGCTTGCCATGTTTGATTCCTCAGAGGCTCTAGGTGAACCTGCAGCCTGAACGTGGAGTCCTACCAAGTTTTGAAAGACTTGCAATTACGATGCAGAGCCACCTTTTTTTGTTGGAACAGAACATGGACAACAACTGGGTCCAGAAAGTGACAAAACAAAAGGATTGGTAAAAAACAAAGATCAACTCTGAAAAGACAAATGGACAAATGGACTCAAAACCTTACTCAGCAGACATGTGGATATGTGCGTGAGTCACATGTTGCTTCAGACTTTAGGGCACCACCCACAAATTTGGGGTGTTAACCCTATCAGTTTGCATCCAATTTTAGCACCATGAGACCTTGGGACACTGTCCAAACTCTTGCTGGTTGATGTCACACACCATTCAAAAATCTCACCATCAGCCCAGGAGCAGAGGGCGTTTCACTTTCATCTGCAAATCTTCCAGGTCTGAGTCCAGGCAACGCTGACCTTGGAGAAGGCTGCCAGTTGAGGCGTTCACGGACTGATGTGGGGAAAAAAAGTGGTGTGACCATGGCTTATTTCGAGTTTTAGTTTGGATTTTTTGTTGTGTGTATTTGGGTGAAATGGATTTACAGTACCCAAAATGTGTATGTTCAATGATGAAAGCATGTTCGTCCAAGCCCCTTTTTGGCGGTGCCTGTTAGATGTAGCGGGGACAACTTGGGTTCCCAAGTGTCATTTTTTTCGGAGATGCACAATCTTATCACAAATCCGTTTCCCCAGGTCCGTGTCCCCTTGGGCATCGCGAAAATTTCACCATGCTGCATCCCAAAATTCCAATGGTCGGCGAAACCTCCATTGTTGGCATTGAGCCATCCCTACCCATGGATTCGTAGCCAGGCTTCGGAAGGATAAAGGTACCAGATCACCATGCACTAGGAACAACGCGAAGGCGCCATCCACCTTTCCACCGGTGGTCAAAGGATGACGAAAGTTGGCGTTTTATCCCCCTCTTTTTTGGTTTAAGGATCTGTTTCGAAGAAACATCGACACACCGGAAAGAAATGGTCGTTTCCTGCAAACGCCATCGATTTCCATCGAACGCGTGCGGTGAAAGATGGTTGGGAGATCACCTGCAAGTGTGTGTTTTATCACATCAACCAGCGCCCAGGGTCTGAACAAAACCGACCGTTTTCCGAAATAAGATGGCTATGGTCAAAAAACGATCACCTTCCCTTGGATGGCGAAATACTCCCAAAAGGGACATTAGGAAAACAACAACAACAACAACAACAGACGTCCGTTGGTGGTGACCGGATAAAATGCCTGGAATTCTTCTTCTACGACGATGCGCTCAGGCTTGATCTGCCGATCCTGGCAGCTGTTCCGTGGAGTGGAGGACTAGACGGTGTCATCACCAATGCTGGTTTTTCAGTGGGTTTTACCACATTAAACTTATAGGCAGCAAGTGAAACTTAGAATGACGTTCAGGTTTCCAAACACTAATCATCATATCTGAGTTTTATCTTGAATCTCGCATTTGGATCGTTGCCCGGCCGTTGTTTTTGGCTGCAGTGAATCCAAATAACAAGTAAACTAGCCAAACAAATGTTTTGTTCCTAAATGCATCCATATAAATGTTTGCCTCTGGTATGCGCAGGCATCGAATACGTGCAGGTGACCAAGTTGTTGAATTCACTCGTCTTGCGAAGCAGTATCCTGGCCCTGGTGTTTCCTCATTCTGTTGTTTCATCCCCGTATCTTCGCTTGAAACATGCACATTGGTTGCATTTAATGATATACATTTACATGACATTACCGCCATCACACACCTCACAGCTGTGTCCCATCCATCACAGTTCTCCTTGTATTTCTTCCATCGCTCCCACTCCGCCTCGCAGCTTTGGTGTCAGACACAGATGCAGAACCATCCACAATCCATATATAAATATAGAGAGAGACCATCAGCAACAACAACAACACCACCACCAGCAGCAGCAGCAGCGGCAGAACAAAAAAAGACATCACCATCGTCGTGTCGTCGTCGTCGTCGTCGTCGTCATCATCATCATCACCATCACCATCATCACCATCATCACCATCATTTTCACAATAATACAAGTAATAAGTAATGATATCCTGTGATATTCTACTCTAATATGATATCAATCATTCTCCATTGATATCCCATCAACGAAAAGCGCCTGCGCGTCACACTTGTCGATGCCCCCGAGCACGAACTCCGTCTCCGGCACCCGGGGCCCCCGGGGCGTGAGCTCGCCAAAGCGCGTCTCCTGGCAGGTGGAAACAGCTGTGGAAACAGGTAGAAACAGGAGGTGAAACGGTTGGGCAGTTCAAAATATCGGAAAATGTTCAGTTGGTAAAATAGTTGTCTAGTTCAACTTCGAAAATATCAGAAAAATATCATGGGGGCTTCCAAAATGTTTGGAACAAAATCGGCATTGAACTTCGAAATGAATCATATTGGAAGCGTTCGACATAAAAAATCTCCATGAATTCACCGAGAAGGCACGATTTTTGGCACGACTTGTGAGCTGCAAACGAGAAGGAGTTGGCCCCAAAATTTGGGGGTATCATAAGATTATTACAGGAAAATAATCAAGAATCCTCCCTCACTCCATTGCCAGTATGCTGTCGTTGCTGCCAGCTTGTGCTTGTAAGTCGCTGCACTGGGTCTGTCCGGTCTACAAGTGTTTGCAGCTTGTCTGAGAATGATGATGAAATTCCAAACATTAAAACTATAGATTGCATGATGTATGCATTGTGAAAGTGCACCTATCAAATGCTGATAGTCATCAGAAGCATGATGGTGATTATTGCTTATATGTTACTGGTCCATTACTGGTTTTCTTACTGTGAAAATGAAAATGATGATGATGATGATGATGATGATGATGGTATGGATTATCCCGATCATTAAGAGACATTTCTGCAACTATGCCGGGTCCTTGGCAGGCCTTTGGTTGGCACAGCGGAGGAGTTGCAGAAATCCCACCAAATGCCTGCCGGAAAGGACCGGTTTTTCCGTGGAAAATGGACCAATGAGATAAACCACCATAGTAACGGATTGTTCACCAGGCATGGATCGCTATTATCTGGTTGGTGGTTTCAACCATCTTGAAAAATATTAGTCAATGGGAAGGAGTATCCCATATATGAAATGGAAAATAAAAAATGTTTGAAACCACCAGCCAGTTATTCTCTGTACAATTACTGTACACATGCCCGTCTCATGTCATGCCATGCTAACTCTTCCTGTGTATCTTTCGCTGATCAGCTGCCAAGGTACCAGAAATCGGCATCTTCTGCGACGTCCATATCTGCACCATCCTGCCACGAGAGCCCTGCGATGATCTCCGACGTTTTTTTAGTTCGAATCAATGGATTCATGATTTTGAAGGAAATTCTCCAGAAAACCATGGTTTGTACCATCAAGTGTTGCTTCTTCTTGTAAGTTTTCCCTCAAACCAATCCAGTTCATATGTCATAGTTCCATATCTTTCCTGCTTGGATCTTCAATTTTCCTATATTTTCATGCAAAAAAAACATCTTAAATCGCATGGAAATTCACCATCTTCATCCATGGAAACCCTGAAAAATCGCCAGCTGCACCTGCAGATGCACCACCTTGGCGTCCGCCACATCGGCCACGGCACGAACCAGGTCCTCATCCGTATTTTTGACAAAGCGAAAAGAAAACACCGGGGGACACAAAAGGCCTATGATATGCAGATGACATGTATAGACATAGTAGTGATAATATGTATAGACATATATATATATATGTTTTTATTTATAATATGATGATACATCTTATGATATAGTTGTTTTTGCTATGTATAAATATGATTAAATATGTATATCTCTATATATAGTAATAGACCATATCCATGACCATTGTATTATGAAGCCGTCATTATGCATTGTTTTATCATGTGAAACAGGGATTGGGAACAAGGAAACAGTCAACCCTGGGTGCCCCGGATCTTAAGATTTCACTCATCCCATTGAGATTTGGCACAAGTTCAGGCTGCTTTCTGAAGGGTCAAATTTCACAGAAAACCCCTTTTTTTCGCCATTCAAAAATATCTGCTTGGTGGTTGAAAAACAATCTTGAAAAATATGAAAGTCAATGGGAAGGATTATCCCATATATTACATATATGGAATGGAAAATAAAACATGTTTTTGAAACCACAAACCAGATACATATATATATATAAGATTGGCTATCCTGCATATCTTCCCATCCAAGCTCTGCTTCATCTAATGGAGTCGTTCTTTGGAAATCACGGGAAACATGGCCTCGAAGCTCCGTCCTGAAACATCTGCAAGGGCCAATCGAAGGCCAAAATTTCGATGAAGGCCTCGCAAGGCGTGTCGTGGCAACGGATGAGATGCGGTAGTGAAAATGATGACGCCAGGATGTCTTTGGATGTACTATAGTCTCAAAGACATATATAGGCTATATAATTACATTCTATAGGCTATAGGATTCTAGGATGCTATAGGGATCTGAATATTGAATGAAAAAAAATAGGCCTTGAGCCCAACAAACAAACATTAAGGACATGAATTCGCCAAAATTGAGGATTCCAAAAAAGTCGGGTTACGCTTTGGGATTCAAACCAAAAATGACACGTCAATCTGCAGGGCCCACAGGAGTGGCAGCTGAAAACGATACACCAAACTCTTCAAAAACATCAATGATGTTGGATGCGTCGCAAGATTGGAAACAACAAAAATGTCAGACAAAAATTGGTTGGTGGTTGACCTACCCCTCTGAAAAATATGAAAGTCAGTTGGGCTTATTATTCCCAGTATATGGAAAGTCATAAAAGCCATGTTCCAAACCACCAACCAGAAAATATCGACATGTCTTCTCTCACGGAAAACACCAGGTTTCAACGAGGTCCCACAAGTCTGGAGAAAAAAGATTGGCCCAAGATGGGATTGTCTCAAGATTGGGAAAACCCCGTTCCATCATCCCACCATTCTTTCAGTTTTGGCCATAACTTGACGTGATTCTTGTTATTCCCTCTTGAAATTGCCACAAATTAAATTCTAAATTGCCGCGCAAAATTGCCAAAACTAAAACCAAAAAAAACCAGAGAAATTCCAAAACATCCCATGTTCCATCATTTTCCATCATTTTCCATCATTTTCCATCATTTTCCATCATTTTCCATCATTTTCCATCATTTTCCATCATTTTCCCCATAAAAATCCACCCCAAAATCCCCAAATCCAGCCAAAAACCCGCGCCTGTCGTTGTTCCGCCGGCGCTCGCATGGCGCCCTTGGCGCAGTTCAGGGTGAAAGATTCGGCCCAGAAGCAGCGGTCCAGGTCACCTCATGTTGGGTGAAGTGGGCATATGATGGGGATACAGAAGAAACTTCTAGAGTGGAAAAATCTATTTTTGGGATATGTTTTGGCAACTCTGAGATGATCTCTACGACCTTTTTTTGGAAAATGAGGGATTTTATAGGGGCCTAACCATGAATAAATTACATGTAATTCTTACCATTTACTGGTATTTCATGGGGATATAATAGGAATATGTCACCAACAGTGTGATATCTAAGATTTTTAGGACCGGGAGAACTAGCCATAGAAAAATCATTGTTTGGTCCCGATTCATCACCGTCGACGGTGATTTCGGGCATCCCGGTGCTGTTTTGGTGGATATGTTCATCAACCGAAGAATCAACATAAATGATGGATGGTGCAAATGCAAAATGATAAATCATGGATGTTTGCTTTGAAAAAAGTCAACCAACTCTGCTGAAATTTCTAGGGTGAAGTTTGGAGATCAAAAAAAATATTGGTGAACTGGCATCTTTCCCTCAGATCAATTTGATCTGCCAATGGAAAATCTATGAAAATCCCCCATTTTTCATGATGATGTCTCGATTCAAACCCCAGTTCTAGCGGATTTTGGTCACTAACATCCTCATTTCTAGAGGGTTTCCCACCTTTGATTCCCAGGTCTCATCCCCAGGCACGTCCCTCAAAGAGCTGCTGCAGCATGGTGTGGCAACGAGCGCAGAAGTCTACCTAGCGTGTCATTGGAGAAGACGATGAGAAACCATTGGAAGATAACGGCCCCCTTGTTTTTCTTCACGGATCATCGGCGACCCAGACCCATTTGAATCCATTTGATGTTTTCCTGTTACAAACTTGGTATGGTAGGAGCTGGCCGTCAAGAATTGGATGGAACGGTTGACTTGTTCAAAATGGTTCGTGGCTGACATTTATCTCCCCCACCACTTGCTCAAATGATCCCCGCAATATAGCGAAGGGAACCCGCAAAAACCAATGACCCAAGACCATCGCACAAAAAAAGACCCTAGGTCTCTTCAAGGTGTGTAATTAAATAGCGAAACATCAGCAAACACATATTTGAAACCGCCCACATTTTGGTGAATTTGCTTTACATGTTTGGGACATTTTAGGACCCAAATCACCCATAGACTGTTTTTGAGCCTGAAAATGGAGGCAAAACAGCATGAAATCAGGAAATAACAAGAAACATCATATGACACCCAGCCGACCCCAGCCGAAAATCTCTGACCTCGCAGCCCTCTGCGCAAGCGAACCACATGATGTCCTGAACGGGCGGCTGAGAAATGATATTCGCACTGTTGAAATTCCTACCTTATCCTTTTCATAGCTAAACTTAGGTATCTTGAAAAAAACATGTATATAACAACATACATATCTATATTATATATATATATTAGATCTCGTGCCTGGGAATTATCGAAATGCCTATCATTAACCTACCATTCACCAACAGGATTACCCACATATCCCCATTTTATCCCATTTTTATAAATATGTTTAGATGAATCATTTCCCCATGTTGTTCCCCCCTATGGCCCTATGGATAGATGGCACAGCCCCATTTTGCCATCGAAGACCGCCTCGATGGGCCGGTCGCAGTTGTCGCAGGCGCGCTTGGTGTGATACACGATGCCACTGATGGATAGATGGCACCTGGGACCACCATTTTGCTGCGACGTCTGGGTGCGAGGTCTGGGGGCTTGAAATGACAGTGGTTGAGGCTTCAACCTGGTCACCTAGCTATCCCGCGGATAGCTAAAGATATGCCTGGGGCCTGGAGTTGATACCGAAAAATCTCATGATCTACTCTGAAAAATGCCGGTTTTGAGTTTGAATACAGCAATTTCGTTTAAGAAATGCATATTCCTGTACCTCATAACATAAATATGTATGTACATATGTTGTGTATATATATATATATATCATACATGTGATACACGCCATCCCCCTTCCAACACCCTTGGAAGACTCGGCCTTTGGGATGTGATTTTTTGGGGGAAGGTCTCCTCGACTTTGGAGGATCACGGAACGATTGCATTGACCAACGCACGTGGCGGGAACCATTGGCAGGGCGCCTCTGGCAGTGTCCCATGAAATTCAACTGCTATAGGCTACAGTTGTAGTGGTGTAGCTGTTTGTAAACTACAACCTTTTTGAAGCCTACAACGATGCCCATCCTGGAGATGAATCCAGACCATGACAGGAAGCTTCTCTGAAGATTGAAATTTGGGAATTAGTCCATCTACTCCAGGATGTTGTGACAACAATTTCAGCTGCTCTCAGAGTTGTAGTTGTCACTTTCATAACCTCAGTTGCGCAGCATTGACCCGTGCACCGCCGGATGATTCCCAAAATCCCATTCCCGGAACACGTCGGGACGTCGGTCGTAAAATCGTCATGAAACAATCCAAGCTCACGCGAGGCGATGTTGTCCTCCGATATACCGCCTGGCGTCATGCTGGAAACCTCCATGCCTTCCACGATGGACTCCGTGTAAAAGTGCCAATTCCCTTGATGTTTGCTGGAAAAATGCAAAAACCGAATGTTGTTATTATTTAAAAATGCAAAAATCTCCAGTATGCACATAATTAATATATATATATATATGTGTGTGTATGTATCTACATGTATCTACATGTATCTATATGTATCTATATGTATCTATATGTATCTATATGTATCTATATGTATCTATATGTATCTATATGTATCTATATGTATCTATATGTATCTATATGCATCTATATGCATCTATATATATATATACATGTTATAAATATCATCCTGCAACCCCATGGACCCCATGGAGCCCATGGCCTGCGACCGGTGGTCCAGCCCCACTTCGTGCAGCAGCTCGTGGATGGCGTGGCGGGTGACCTCTGTCAGTGATGCCTCCTTGTTGCCCACCAGGCATGGCCTCAGGTCATGACCCGCATCTCATGTGATGTAGAGATCTGGAAATATCATCTATCCATATATTTATTTGTATATCTACATGTATGCAAATATCAGATATCCATATATATATATATGTGATATATATATATATGCAGTAGATATATCCATATATCTAGATACATATATATCTATATATAGAAGATATATCCAGATATCTAAGTATCTATATATCTATATCGATCATATATCCATATCTATATATATATATATGTATATATGTATATACATATGGATATAACTGTACAAAAACATTGTTCTATATATCTGTATATATATAACATATTTCTGTATATATTTACACCTATATATGTATATAGTTATTTTATGTTATTTTTATTCTTAAATATCTATACATATATGTCTCCAAATGTCTATAGATCTGCAGACCTATGAATCTATATATCTGTATTTGTAAATGTATGTATCTATAAATATATGTGTATATGTATATATATATATATTGTTTAAAGCATCTTTTGTATATATATATAGTATTATATACACATATTAACAGTTGTCAATTTCTACATATCGATATATTGATATATATATATATGATATCGATATATCTAAATATATGTATCTACTGTATATCAATTTATTGACAAACCTACTTATCTAGATACTGTATCTTTCTATCTACGTATACATATTGCGATATTTCTTTGTCGCTAGTGGGCTGACGCTTGGATGTCACAGGCATTTGATGGGAAGAAAGCAGGAACTAACGGAAAAATTGGCAACAAAAAGTGCTGAACTAAGCTTTTAACTGCAAAAAATGCTAAAACTACCGGTAAAACTATCTATGTTACATGACAAAGCTTCTATACTGTTTGAACCCTGAGTCGCGCTTCTGGAAAGCCTCGAGTGTGCGGATAACTCAACCAAGCCAACAAAGATCAACGGACCAAAAAATCATGCGATGCATTGATCCAGGACCGTCCAAAAAACGATCGACAGCGAAGCGCTGGTCCGAGAGGCCAAAGGCACTTCTTATCCACGCTTCCCGCACAGGCCTTTGAGCATTTTGGCATGTGACGAGACAAGTAGTCATCTGGCACGTCCTCTCCTGCAGGGCCACCCAATATCAGGGGTTTTTTATGTGATCAATCGCACCACTGGGAAAGTGGGACCACTGGTTAAATGTGATCAATCCATAAGCAAACTGAGGGAAAGTGGAACTTACTGGGACTACAAGCAACTTTTCATATCTCACCACTGGCCCAAAAAATTGTGATGAGAAAGGCGCCTTCGCCCCACAATGGATCAGGGTAGTCCTTGGAATGTGGATCACACCGTAGCGGTCCCAACAAAAAAAATAGACATGTGATTCCCCTGACAGCTTGATGTTGCTTGCTACCCTTCGAACCCTATCTTGACGATCATTTACTCTTCATACTTCAACGTTTCTATATATCGTTTTAGGGGGACCCAACATGATTTCCTTTTCTTGCTTCCTAATCTTCCTAAATCCACATGAACTCCCAACTCCCAATTTCTTCCCGCCGTCCTGTGCGAATGGAAAGACATGACAACATCAACTGGGTCGTCCCTCCGAAGATGATCAGGAAAGCGCAGATCACCACCAGAGTACCTTGGGATCGTCGCCGTCGGGGCCCAAGGGGGGGCCCTTGGGGTGGTTGATGGAGGTCATATGGGAAGCATCGCAAATTTACGTGGAAAAATCCATAGGAAAAATCCGTATCTATACATCCATGACCATCTATGTACTTTTTTACATACAGGATTAATATTGTTCCAAAGCGCCTGATTTCTGTGGTGAAATGCTGGTGAAAGGATCAAAATCCTGACTAACCACACCACCACACTTGCTGATTTTTGGATGGAAACATCGAGGCTGGAGGCTCTAGAGTTGAAACAAAACATCAGCTGTGTCGATCACAGCTCTGGTCATCTGCCCTTCGGAACTATTCCAACGATTCTAACTCGTAGAAAAAATAAACTGCTGTTAGTGATGTTAATGTTTGTGATTTTTCCAGATGTTTCCTTCAATTGGTGGAAAGAATAAACATCTACTGTTATCTTCTGTTGGTGATGTTGGGATTTTCCATCTTTTTCCTTCAATCCGCCACCAGGAAATGAGTCCCATGAATCTCATCCGAAAAACCACTTGGCAGTTGCCACGCAAGAATTTATCGTTGTGCAGGCTTTAATTTCTTGACAGAAACAAAAAACAATTCAAGCACCTGGGTAAGTCACCTCACCATGATAATTGCTCGCCATTTAAAGATTTCGATATGGTTATTTTTGTCAATCTTTATCAACAAAAAACATCCAAGGTCCTGCCTCCGATCTGTCCCCAAGCCCGGTCCTCAACTCCCCTTTATGCCAAGGATCTGGTGACCAACATCTCTTTGGTTCCAA